GAAATCTGGGTTTTTCTACAAAAGAACTTTTCATTGGAATAAGGATCCATCTAACTTTTTTCATCATATCATAAATAGAATGACCAATTTTACCCATCATGTTTAACTGTGACTTACATAGCTTTGAAACATCATAATACTGTGATGGTTCAAGCTTCATGCCTTTGAAACATGGTTTGAAATTACATTTTCTTTCCATAGTTTGATTCTCTTTCAAAATTGAGGTCTGGTAGTAGGTTAGATTTATGAATTACTTAATGGAAAAATGGATTTATACAAAATGTAGATGCCTTTCACTCTTTTGTTCTTGACTATAAAAAGTGGAGGGAGCCTGGCCAGTGTTGCTCAGTGGTTGAGCATCTATCTTTGAACCAGGTGGTCACAGTTCACTTCCCAGTCAGAGCACATACCCGGGTTACAGGTTTGATCCCCTATAGGGGGCATGCAGGAGGCAGATGATCAATGATTCTCTCTCATCATTGATGTTTCTATTTCTCTCTCCCTCTCCCTTCCTCTCTGAAATCAACAAAAATATATTTTTAAAAAGTGGAGGGAGGGAGATGGGGGAGCTAAGGTGGTCCCAAACAGATGCCTATTTATGTGGGGAAAAAAAAACAGACTAGTAACTGTAGAACAGAAAAAAAAGTGGAAGACAGTTTTACAAACTAGAGTTGTTTTTTAAATAAAATTATTCTGCAATATTATTTTTAAGAAATGAGTAAAATTTGCTTTCTAATCTAATTACTGCACATTCTTGGTTCACATTAAATCTGTAAAACTCACCAACCTGGCTCTTTTTCAGATTAACATATATCAGTCTCAGGAAGTAAATAATAATTAATTTTAAAGCATGAAGAGTTTTCAATTTATTGCTGTGATTTTAATAATGGATTTAGTTGTATATGTCTCCATTTACTTCTCTTATTGCACAGGTTTGCCGTCAGCAAATTTGGCCGCGCCTAACCTCACTGTGGAGGAAGGGAAGTCTATCACCTTATCTTGCAGTGTTGAGGGTGATCCAGTTCCGAGTTTGTACTGGGATGTCGGTAATCTGGTTTCCAAACATATGGTAAGACTCATCTTTGGTTCCGTGTTCATAGACAGATGAGAGTACCTCAGAACTTGAGGTTTTATTAACCTAGTGATGATCATTTAATATTTTATAGGGGCACATGAGGAATTGTTGGTGTATATTTACTTGCTATTTATTCTTAATTAACAAAGACTAATGCAGGTTTGCATTTTAGTTATGTAAACCCAATAGACTGGCGAGAGTCTATGTCTCTAGTGAGCTTTTTGTGTCATCATGAGCAAGGTGAGTGACTCTTTTTCCCTTGGAGGAAGGTAGGTAGGCGTTTCAGGATTAAATCAATTTCACATATTAAACAATTGCCATCTAGAGAAATAGAACAACGTCTGATTTACTCCTTTGCCTGTGCTTGATTAGGCTGGAAACCTTTTCTGATGTTATCAATTATTTTCTCTAATTAGGGGAAGAAACCCCAAATCTTGTCGCTTTGGGACCAGTCCTAACAAAGATTATCTTTGTCTGTTAATTCATTTGTAGAATGAAACAAGCCACACACAGGGCTCCTTAAGGATAACTAACATTTCATCTGATGACAGTGGAAAGCAAATCTCTTGTGTGGCAGAAAATCTTGTAGGAGAAGATCAAGATTCTGTGAACCTCACTGTGCATTGTACGTAATCAGACCAGCATGTGTTTTTAATAGCAAATGATCGTGGACACCCCTACATTTGTCGTTGGGGCACTCCGGGTGCTGCTTACGTGTGTTAAAAGAAGGTGTATGCCGTGTTCTGTGCATACTTAATTAAGAAATGTTATCAGCCTCATTCACTTGTTCTATTTCTGCTAATCTTTCTCGCTCATGCGCTGTCTTTCCCTTAAGCTTCTTTTCGATTTTAAGCTTGTCCTCTGTGCCTCCCCAGTCTTTATTTGATGGAACATATTTTGAGCTGGTTATCCTCCTCTTGTTTATAACTTTTAGCTTAAATTCTGATAAACCAGTTTCTAATTTCTTTTTCTTTATAAAAGCAATATAAAGCGTTAGAGTTCTGATACCTAATGTATGGGGCTGGCTGTTCACAAACACCTACTTGTACTGTTGATACAATAAAACCTCATTAATTTGACATCAAGTTTCCATGAGAAGGTTGGAGGAGTCCTACTTCAGTTATTGAAAATTATTATCACCTGCAAAAATCTTTTATTATTATATCTGTTTTAAATTTCTGTATACATTGAAACTAAGCTAGAGGATAGTGATACTTCTTAAGCATATGTACATTATTCTCTAGTATTAATAAATAACATGACACATACCTTAACATTCCAGATTGTAATGCTCAGTGTGAATGCATATTCAGTAAAAATCACATATACTGTTCACATCATTGCAAATTCTGAGCTGGATGGTACAAATTAATGAACTTTTACTCTGAAAACAAAACAAAACAAAAAACAAACAAACATGATGTGTGGTGTGTGTATGCACAAATCCACACTGCACACATATAGACACTGGTTAATGTTCACTCATAGAGGACCTACAGTATGTGGGGGTTGGAGTGAATGACTAAAATTACCAACCATAATCCTTTGTCACTGGCAGTATTACCACTATGCCCAGTAGACTCTGGACTTATAATTTCTAATCATTTTGACCTTCCTGGAAGCTTGAAGTCAGTGTTACCCCCAAACATATGCAACCAGCTTCCAACTTTATAGCCTTAAATCAACACCTCACCCAAAGCTCTTTTGAGCTTGGTGGAAGGAGTAAATGTGTCCTGGGAATGGGGTCTTGGGCCCGTGGGAGGAAGGTAAGTGTGGTTCCTACCCCACTGTGGTCCTGTGTTTGCAACACGGACCTACAAATAAGGACATGGAAGTTTAAAATGTTCTCAGTTTGGGTTCATATCTATGTGGTAGCCATGGTCTGAAGAATTAGCTTTATCAAAGTTTAGATAGAGAGTAGGAGGAATAAGTGATACAGAATATTAACAATTGAGCTAATCTTTGCAGTGACCTTGCTCAGAGTGTTTTAGTTATCACCCCCACCCCCTGCCCTTTCATGTCAGGAACCTATACATCCAGGAAGCTGGGCTTCTGGATTGGGCACCAGGAGACCTGGATTCTTGTTTCAGATCTGCCTCAATCAGTAACCTTGACCAAGATACTTACCCTCATTGGACTTGGGTTTCTTCATCTGAGAAAGAATGCTATTAGGTCTCAAAAGTGTTTACAGTCCTTGAATGTATAATCAAAGTCAGACGACATTAAAATAAACAACTATGAGGGGTTTTTAATACCTTCACCCAGGACAGTGGTGGGCAAACTCATTAGTCAAGAGAGCCAAATATCAACAGTACAGCGACTGTAATTTCTTTTGAGAGCCAAATTTTTTAAATTTAAACTATATAGTTAGGTACATTGTTATTAACTTAATTAGGGTACTCCTAAGACTTAGGAAGAGCCACACTCAAGGGGCCAAAGAGCCGCATGTGGCTCGCAAGCCGCAGTTTGCTGACCACTGACCTAGGATAATTACTGTTTAAATGAGCTACTTGATAATGTTTGTTTTCTGAAGCATAAAGTTCTTTATATTTAATGTTAAAATAATCTCTAGTTTGTTTGTCCAGGTTTAGATAGGACTTCAGCTATTAGAGGGATCAAAACATTGACACAGCCCCAAAAAACCCCAACTGTATTATAAATAAATGTGATGCTCTTAAAGAGCATTTACTATTGACAATCAGTGAAATCAATCAGCATCGATAGGAACATTTGCAGCATTGATCTGTTTTAAATAATTTAGGTGAGATTAGGACTGCAGGCAAGATTTCCAGTCTTTTTTCTTTTTGTATTTATTATGAAGTACTGCAATAGTGACCTTCAATGTTTTGATGATCAATCTGTATAACATCAAGGCATATAAACCCAAGTCAACTTCAGTTGAACCCTTTCCACAGTCAGAAATCTCTAGGATCTGTTTGGAGCAGGTTCCCACACTGAGTAGATGTGAAAATGACGGTGATGCATGGGTCTTCAGCTGAGCAGGGGCAGGAGTCTCTCTGAAGCTCTCTGTAGGGAGTTAAATCAACCTTGATAAGGATAGAAAATATTGATGGATTCCAGGGTTGCAGGTCATATGTCTTCTTAAACCAAACAATGGTTGAATAAAATGCCCTATTGATGACACAGAAATCTGGAATGGGGAAAAACTTGAGCTTTCTGATGCTATTAACTCTCTCTTTTTTAATTTAGTTGCTCCAACTATCACATTTCTCGAATCTCCAACCTCAGACCACCACTGGTGCATTCCATTCACTGTGAAAGGCAACCCCAAACCAGCGCTTCAGTGGTTCTATAACCGGGCAATACTGAATGAGTCCAAATACATCTGTACTAAAATCCATGTTACCAATCACACGGAGTACCACGGCTGCCTCCAGCTGGATAATCCCACTCACATGAACAATGGGGACTACAAGTTAGTCGCCAAGAATGAGTATGGGAAGGATGAGAAACAGATTTCTGCTCACTTCATGGGCTGGCCTGGTGATGACGGTGAGTACCTGATACTTTTGCATCTGGAGAGAGGCTAGGGTCTGCCATTCAACTATGGACAAAATTGTGTACAACAACACCCCCTCCCTTAACCCAGGGGCTTATATCATCATTATTTAGTCTCATCATTTTGAACTACCTGGTCATCCTCATGGGTCTGTAAAAGACCCGCAGCTTCATCCTGTGGGTCTTTATTCCGGGGTGCAGGGTGAAGGAGCAGTAGCTACACAGGAGACCTGCTTCCTATGGCGAGTATAGAGTTCAAAAAGACAACTAGAAACGTGCAAGGCTTCTTAAGGCCTACATTCAGGACTGGTGCATGGTCTCTTGAGCCTATATGCCCTTGGTCAAAGCAAGTCCCAGGGCCAAAGCCAAGTCCAGGGGTAAGGACTCCTATTTCTCTCAAGAAGGTGATGGTGGGGATGAATAAGTTTGAACAATGATCTGATATACACATTATTTTTATCCCAACTGCTTATTGAGATTTTGTAGTGACAGTGGCAAAACCATGAGCAGAAGGAACGTGTTTGGTTGGCTCCTGAAGAAATTAAGATGTATTTTCTAGTCCCTTATCCACTTGGAACTCAGGATCCTACTTTCTGATCCATAGATGAGAAACCAGTGCCTTGGCATGTTTTGCTTACCTGGGCTGACTGAGTTGAGGCCTCCTTTTGATCAGGTCCTGAATTGTTTTTCTAGGACTGGTGATAGTTTTTGTCTCACCAGTAGCTTGGGTTGGGACAAGGGTGGCTGGCATCAGGAGTCTGTTCTGGGGCCAGCAGCAGGAGTTTAGTGTGAGCCCCAATAACAGCAAGGATAGTTGTCATGCCTTTACCTGCTTCAGATCCTATTGTTGAGAGGAGTATTCTTGCTTGCTTGGTGTTGATGCCCAGAGACCTGTCGCTGTTGTGGAGGCTGAGGCTTGTGTTTGGATATTGGGACCTGTACATGAGTTGAATTCTTCACCGTAATAGTTTTGAGTTAATCAAAGCCACACAAAGATGGCTTGGCAGAAGGAAGGGAAAATATAAACTTGGAGGCCCATGAGACAGGGGCTGCTTGGGAAGCATAAACTCCTGTGGCTCACAGGGCAGCCCCATGGACAAAGGTGATGTATGCGAAGCCACCTTCAACAAACAGTAAATGAGAATGTCATAATTCCCAATCATAAAAAAATGTTCCCATTATCTTGGAATTTATTCCACGGCTAGGTAATGCACAAGCTTCCTTAGTGTTCAAACTGTGATTTGAATTCTATAAGTTTGATTTACAAACATCCTTTCAGGAGTGTATAAAACACACAATGTTTGGATGCCTTACCCAGACAGCCCTGGCAGGGGCCATTCCCATTAATTCTTCCTCTTAATTGAGTTTAGCTGTTTGGCTACATTTGCTGTAGTAAATCTCTAGATTACTTTGTTTTGTTTTTTTTTTTTCTTGTATGTTACAGGGACTACAGCTTCATAGGTTAACCCAGGGACTCTGCTTTGGGACAACTGCTTTTGGTTTGTTCTTAAGTAAACTTTTTATTTGTGAATAATTTTAGATCTACAGAAAAGTTGCAGACAGTAGAGAGAGTTCCCAGCTATCTTGTACCCAGTTTTTACTATCGTTGACATCTTGCATTACTGCAATACATCTGCTAAAACGAAGAAACTGACACTGGTATATTACTGTTAACTAAACTGCAGACTTTATTTGAATTTCGCCAACTGCTTTTTGAAACTGTTGGAGATGAATTTGTGCAGGGTGAAGGTCAGACGTTTAAAAGTTTTAGAAGTGGCTTGTGTGCTTTGATATATGCACAGTTCTGTCCATGTAAAGCCAGCAGCTTCTATTTTAGGTGGGATTTTGATGTATTTTGTTTTGAATGCTTCTGTATGGTGCCAGTGTTTGAGAGAGCTTACCTCCTCTTATCCATGTGGCCTCATTTTTATCAATTATTTCTGTTTGTTTTAACTCAGCTAGTGATAGGAGAATTGTTTTCTGGCACAAGACTAGCTTGGAGTTTCTCAAATATCTTCTTTAAGAGAAATAACCATTTATTTATCAAAAATAAAAATTAAGCTCAATTTTACAAATGTCTTTAAAATGTAAATATCTGCTTTTAGAAAAACAATGATTTTGTTTTTTCTCTTTAAGTATTTACTCAAGACCCAGCTCTCAAGGAGTAATAAATGAAAGTGGAAATGAAAGAGACTTGGCCCAGAGTGACAGTGGATATAAATGGCCCTCGTGGGCCATACACCAGTGTGACCAATTATAGCTTGACCTCACTTGGCTTGTGTGATAGCATCTTTGTGGGTATTTACAAGATTTGTAGCCAGAGCATACAGATAATGGCTTTGCATAGAATGGATTCCTTTCCCTCTCCTCCCCATTTAAAATGAAAGAAAAATAAATAGCAAATATAAGCAATTCATTTCCCTGCTGGTCTAAAAGGTACATTCCAAGTTAAGGACAACAGGTCAAGTTTGAGTTTATATTTGTTCCATATTTCTGCTGTCATCATATAGTAACTGATGAAGTTTAGCTTTTACAAATATTTCTGATAAAATGTTTTAGCTATATTTTCTCAGTTGTTTTGATGAGATCCCTTCTTTTAAAAATTGTGAGTTTCCTGGCTTACAAGGAAGCCAGCAGCCTGGGATCATAGTGGAGTGGGTTTGCATGTCCACACAGAGCCTGGAGAATTAACATGACAGCGCTGCTGTCCTCAGTGTGTGTCCCTCTTTAGCTCAGAACCAAGATTTTCATGGGATGGTTACCTGCCTTAGGAATTCATTTTCTATTTGGAGCTAGATGATGAAGCATGTTGGAAGAAATTTAAACAGAAATAAAATAAAAAAGTCCCTAAAACAGAAATGGGTTAGCATGGAAGAGAACAGACTGGTTGGAAGTAGTTACATTCGTGATGGCCTTGACTTTCGAGTGGCATGGAAATACTGGACATAGTGCCCCACAGAACCTGGGGGAAGCCACTGGGAGAACTGGTCAGGCATCCATACTGACTCCTCTTGGATACCAATAGTAATAATGATAAAAATATAGAATAATTGGTGCACTGAGATGCATTTTAATTGGGTTTGGCAAGAAGTAGGATGAATTTAATGCATGGCTTAAGGAGGCTTGGGAGAGTGAATTAAAAAGTAGAAAGAGCAGTGCAGGCACACGTAGAAAGCGTGGAGCTATCTGAGAATTCTCCTAAGATTCTGCTGGATCCTATTTAGCTTACGGGCCAAAAATAAGCCTGTCTGAGGTGAAATTGATCCACTATGTGGCTCTCATTGGAATTCAATCCCCCACAGAGAAAAAGCCTCTTCATGACATAAAAGTGTGTGTAGGCTCCGTGGAGGTTAGAACTGGTGAGGGTGTCTTTTAAGTAGAATTTTAAACAAAAATTAATGGCATGATGCTTGTGAATGTCACGAGAGAGAATCCTGAAGACTTTGCTAGTATCTTCTAATCAGCACACCTTTCCAAGGTCAGATAGCTCTATGAACCTGAACACGTTGATTGTTTAAGAGTACATTTTTTCTATGGAAGTCATTACCTGAGTGACTAAACATTTAGACTTGGAACAAACCTAGCCAGGGCACTAGTCGATAAAATACCTTGGTCTGAAGCTTCCCAGTCTTCAGGCAGTACATAAAGAGTCTCTCCATGGCCCACTCATTCAGGAAGAATGTCACAGCTCAAGAACGCTCATTCACACACGCAGTGGGAGTTAGTGACTTATGCTTCCTAATTCGGGAGCTGTTGTTTCCTATGCAGAATTCGTGTCAGGAACAAACTATAAATACTGGAAGAGTTTTCCCCACAGCTTCTTCTTCGTGCTATTTTATCAAGAGATTCATGACGTCTGGATGAACTAGAGCACATAGAATTACCCTCAAACTGGCAGATTTAGATCTGGTGTACTGAGGCCAAAGAATGGAGAGAAAGGAAATTCCTCCAAATGTATAGCATTGAGAAAATAACCCCTTCCTCCCTGTCACTTGCCCCTCAGGCCATTTGTCAGTTCCCATTTCTTGTCCTGGGAGTGAAAGGAAAGTTCTACCTGCCTTTCTGACTTAAATAACTGTGAAGTCTGATTCGGCCATAAACCCATACTTATCATGATAATTAAGATTTATACTTAAATAGCTCTTTATGTCTCAAGAGTACTAATGTTAATTAATTATGCTTCCCGAAACTCCCAAGGACTTGCCAGAGCCAATGCTATTATCCGCTCCCGTCATGGGGAAGACTCCTTTGTACAGGAAAAGTGAGCAGACTCGCTCCCCATGCTGCCTACATTCATGGCTCAGCCAGAAATGAAACCCAGACATCTGAACCCCCAATGTTTTTGGGCCCTGAGTTCAGCCTGTCATTCAGAAAGGGAAGAGGAGAGGGATCTGGAATCAAAAGGCGAACCACTATGAGCTAGAAAACACTGTTGACAAAGGCCAGTTCGTTTGAAAAGACCAGGCCTTTTGCTATGGCTTTATCATATGGAATTCTTTGAAATACTTTTCAAGATCACACTAAAGAGAATCTCAAAATAGAATTTAAAGAAAAGTCTTTTCTTTTTCTTTCTCTCTCTTTTATTTTTTTTAGGGCATTAGAGAGAGACTAAAAGCTTAAAGGAGGGAAACAGATGTGTTTTCTGGCCTCCACCATTATTTTTATCTTTGCAACAGAATGGAACGGGAACCCTACTGTCAGGCTACCTATCTTCCCACAAATTTCTTTATTCCTACAAATGTTTTTTTTCCTTTAACTGTACAGTCTTACAGTTAAAAGTCATAAAGATTTACTCATGAAGATTTACATAAAGTTATAAGATTTACTCATGAGCAATAACCGAGATTAGAAGATGGAAATAAAATCCTCATTTAAGTCATTTAGCATCAAATTATGAGGATGATGAGGTGCTCTGGTTTGATATTATTTGGGGGGGGATGGGAAGGTGATTTTATGGACCATGTTTAGAGGCCTAAATGCCCCACAGGTCCTCTCTTGGGGGTGCAGACAATGCAGGTTTAATACCGAGCTTGTTGGGAGTGCATGTGCGACTGTGATACACTCTCCATTGTTCTTTTCCCAAGTGTTTCAGGCTGAACTCGGGCCCTGTTAGTCTTCCTCCTGTAGTTCTAGGCAACATGCCTTAGGTAAGAACCTAAGTACAAATGAGTATAGCACCTGGAGACACTCAAAAAATCCTTCAGAAAGTAGAACGTGAACATCAGACAGGCGAACAGTCCTGCTTGGCGCACATATTCTTTGGGTTGGAAAACAGTTGTAGCTTCTGCCTGTGAGTGAGCTGCGGAGGGAGAATGTGGTCTGTGGCTTGTTTGGAATGCCAGTGGGATGGAATGGAGTTTCTAGATTCCCATATTCTATTCCAGAGATTCCCAACAAGAAGCTTTCTGGCTTGATGCCACCTCCTGCTGCCTAGATTTGAGATTTCTTATGCAATGAGAGCTCCTAGGCTAGGATTCAAGGAAGCCTAACCCTTCTCAAATCCCCACTGCAGGTGCATAGCTCAAGTCCGATGTTGCTCATTCATCTTTCATTCATTCTCTTTCTGTTGGCTTTCCCCCTCGGAGCTAGTCATTGCCTTACCTCAGTCACCTTTTAGTCCTGAATATCACCAACAGGGGTTTCTATTGTTAGCATATAACAACAAATGATGGACATATTTAAACTAACTAAAAGAAACCAGGTAGAAATTAGACTTAAAAATGGCAGGATATTTTCAGAATTTGACCATTGCCAGAGGACAAAGAGGAAAGTGGTGATTGTTTCCTGTGTCTGCATTTAAAGTGATGTTAATAACCACCTCGCTATGGGAATGTAAACATCCTGGGAGGTTCGCTTGACTAAGCAATTGCCAGAAGCAAAATCCTATGCTTGATGAGCTGGGGTCAGCTGGAGTGATGTGACCCTTCTTCTGCATAAATGCTAGGTCTGGGCACCCTCCATGTGCCAGGCCTCTCAAACCTTTGCCCCTGGAGAGGCATTTCTTTACTGTGACAAGTAGGTCCTCATCAAACAAAGTACAGTATGCTAGGGAGGGAAAATAAAGCAACAAAAAAACCAACCCCATCATTGTTCCTCCCACATTGTCTCTCTGTGAGTTTCATAATCTTGCACTAAATTTGGCTATTCCTGAGGACAAAAGGAAAGTGACAGTACATCTCATAGATCTAGGATGATGAAGTCAGAAAAATGTGCTTTCTAGAAATTTTAGACATCACCCGATGGCTTTGCGGTTAAACTTGGTAGGAAAGGCACGCAGCGATAGGCGTCAGAAGCCTGGACAAGAGCCTGTGTTACAGGTTATAAGCTAACTTGTGTACTTTTGATCCCACCCCCAAATCCCACTTTTCTGTAACCTGACGTTTGCTCCATTGGATTGATTCGATGTTTTGGATTTCCCGGGGAGCTTTGTGTGAGGAATGTGTCTGGGCGCTCCCTTTCTGTGATGAGGCTGATGGCACCTGTCAGTCATTTCCCCTGAAGCCCTGACAGTGTGCGGCTTAGATAAATCTGCTTCAAATCCTCATGATGTCTTTTGACTTTCTTATGGAATTATACCTGTAAAAGTGGGTGGTGACTGGGTGGGGGGGTCTCTGAGGGCGTGAGAACAGGTCAGGTGACCAGTAGACCCAGTGTTAGCACTAGTAGCCCTATGCCCAGGGAAAGCCCTCATTCCTGGACAAACTGCAAGGATTTGCCTGGAACCATCCCAGTTTTAAAACTTTGAGTCCAATGTCTCAGGAATCCCCTTGGTCTCTGGCAATCTGGGATGGTGGGTCACCCTAGTACATATTTATATCCAAATACTTAAAAATATAAACCAAACTAATGAGTTGTTAAGTAAAATAGGTGATATCCTTCTCCAAACATGCTTGTAATGATCTGGAAGGCTGGGTTTGAGGATCGGATTGTCAGACTCTCAGAATTCCTGCTAGAACATAGTGGTTTTTGGAGAGGTGGTCCCTGTCCAGGGCCCCTGTCCTGTGCCTCAACTATTCACAAGACGTATATGAGATGTAGTGAGTGAGCATGTGGACACCCCAGCCCATCTATCTTGGCTCAGTCCTCACCACTCCCTTGGGTCTTGGGTCACAGGGTGCTCATACTGATGGTGTGGCCACCCGTGTGTTTGGGGCCTGTGCGGAGGGAGTTCTAGGTTGTGGGCACCTGGAATGAGGTCTAGAAGTGAAGAGTGGACTCTGGTGGGCAGGTCCCCTTGCAGATTCAATATACCCTGTTCAAGGAGTTGGGGACCAGAGTGGGATTCTTTAAAGTAATAGATTACTGAGAAGTTCAAAGAATGATTTGCTGACTTGGGGTTATAGGACCTTTCCTTCA